AAGAAGGGTCAGTCATAATACAAGTTTTGTTTTGTTTTGTCTTATTTTGTTTTTCTCAGTGCTAGCAATTGAACCCAGGGCCTAGCAGGGGTTGTGAACCTGTGGCACAGCCTGTTTGCCACTGTTGAAAGCTCTATAAAGGGGCTGGGGAGCTAGCTCAGTAGAATAAGCACTTGCCTGGCAAGCGCAAGGTCTCGAGTTCAATCCCCCGTACCTAAAAAGAAAGCTCTGTAAGTTTTACCAGCACTCTACCACTGAGCTCCAGCCCTAGCCAAGAATTGTTATTTAAATACATACAAGATGTGATCTCTTACCAGAATAGAAAAACATGGGGAGAATTCAAAATTTAATCACTAAGAAATAGTTGAAGGTATTTAGCAGTAAATCCTAGTGAGGAATGCACACTGGAAACCATAGAAAAGAACTAAGCGAGGCCCGTGAAGGACTAGAGAAGAACTCTAACATATCTTGTCCTTGTGGAGCTCAAGCACTGCATACACCCAGCCGTGACACATGGAAAGTCATCTTAGTGACGCAGGTAAAGATGGGATCCAGTATTTTACCTACTCAAGTCAAAAGGAGAAAGTATGTAAACATAGCCCCCAAGAGATGACCCTTCCTGAAGGTATAGGTTCAATTCTGCTACCACCATAGTTGAAAAACATCCACCAGTCCCTCAGTGGTGTAAAAACTGCCTGGGTATAGACAGCTCGCAGTCAGGCATACTTGGTCAAATACACTCATAGTGCCGCCGCAACCTCCAGTCCCCTTGCATGTGTAGGTAAAACTGGGTAAATGTATTTTAACCTCAACAAATTTAATCATTAAGTATAGAGATGATGAAGTACAGTATCAAATATATATTATTTTAAAAATTGTAACAAACTCATAGAAGGATCACTATCACTATGTCCCACGCTATTTTAAGCACTTCAAATACATTAAGTCGTTTAAATTCTAATCTTCTCCCTCTCCCTGTGAGGTAGGTACTATTGCTCTCCTCACTTACATTAAAGAAACTGAAGCACAGAAAAATTAAGTGACCCAACCCAGGTCACAAATCTAAAATCTGAACAACCCCAGACACCTTCAGCCATCTGATCTTTAACAGAGAGGCCAAAAA